AAAGCACAAACCGAAGCAGAACACACAACGTATATTTCACAAGATCAGCAATCCTATGAAAACACATAAGAACACCATGATACTACTGCACAACCCTACAACCTTAAGAGACATTATTCAGACTCTGGAATAAACCCAGAAACAGTCTATACCTCTGTCCCACATCAGTCAGGCCGCAGTTAAAAATGATGGCGCTCCACAGACTGCAGGAAATTGTTAGGCGATGCGTTTAATTACTGATCATCGAGGCTGAAAGACGGAAACGGTGACATGCAGAGCAGATGTAAAACAAGACGAGAGCGAGCGGACCCATGTGATGAACATTTAAAAGTGTAGATTGGAGGACGGACTGAGGAAACACTGAGATGTGCAGAGTGCGTGTGGAAGGAAGGAGGAGAGGAAAGGCGTGTGTGTTTGTGTTTGTGTGTGTGTGTGTGTCTTGTTAGTTATTGATCCCATTTAATAATCCTTAACCATAGTCTACTCCCATGAGAGCACTTAACTCTTCCTCTCCTCTCCCTCTCCCTGCCTCCCTTTTACCTTCTGTTCGCCCCAGAAGCTTCTTTATGTGTCTGCATCCTCTCCTCTCCTCTCTTCTCCTCTCTTCTCCTCTCCCTCTGCCTCCCTCTGCCTCCCTCTTACCTTCTTTGTGTCTGCATCTCTTCCCCCCTTGTGCTCTCTTGCTGAACTCTTAACTACAAGGTGAAGGTGAATTGAGGCTAAAGACCAACACTAAATCCCAGCAGTAACCGCTGTAGTTGTGTGTCGGTGCATTTGTTGCTATGGAGTCGATTCCGTTGTCTCTAAGAGGCTTGAAGTCATTCAAAGCACACCGGGGCCGACCCAGACTCTGTAAAGTGAACTCGGGTCTTTGGTGAACTGAGCTCCACGTGTTGTGGCGGTAACTGTTCAGACTTTTTGAAGTGCGCTCTGAGGACTTGGACCCCGGCTCTGCCTGCAGAAAGACTTCCTCTTAGTTTTCCCCTCCAGCCTGGTGCACACCTGGTACCTGTTTCTGTCGTTCAGCTCAGCTTGTTCTTTTATATCAAATGTTTTCATAAAGTTTTTAATTAGTCTAAAGGTGAGCTCAGTATGTCTTATTTAAAACCCTGGACTGGCTTGCCCACAGAGGCGGATCGGCCCCGCTCTGCAGATATCCTTTCATCAGCGTGCAATGTTTTACCTAACCTAAAGGGGGCCCCCCCATGCGTCGGAACCCCATTAGGTGTTCCCCTACCCCCGCCCGGTCTCGTCTCGGTCTCGCCCTGTCTTGGTCTTGGTCTTGGTCTTGGTCTTGGTCTTGGTCTTGGGAGACGGGGAGCGCAGGTGAGCTCAGCGTGTGTGTGTGCATGTCCACGTTCTCTACACATCTTGCTTACACAACGCTGAAACACGTTGTGAGTTCACAGACTGGGACACCGACAGCACGCTGCTGCAGAGTCACATGAGCGCACAAAGACGGCGCTGTCGCAAAGCCGCACTCTGTAAAGACCGTTTGACTTTTTAAATTTAGAATGATGAAAAAAGACAAGTTCAGCGATGAGATAAGATTTACTACTTTGTCCACAGGGGGGCGGGCAGGTCAAGTTCTGCACAGTAGCTTTAAAGACACAAAGTTAAGAGTTTGTGGGATCAAGATCCGATTTAAAAATGAGGATCTTGAATAGGATCTTGTCTTTAAAGCTACTGTGCATATATATATATAATTTTTTAATATATAAAGATTTATTTTTGGGCTTTTTGTGCCTTAAATGGAGAGATAGGACAGTGGATAGAGTCGGAAATCAGGGAGAGAGAGAGGGGAATGACATGCAGGAAAGAACCTGGGCCGCACGCCTGGAGGACTACAGCCTCCATGCGTGGGGTGCACGCACTAACCACTGTACCACCAGCGCCCCGATCAAGGGAATCAGTGTTAATCTTGTCGAAAATATTCGCTGACGAAGGTCTTTTTAAATTAGTCAACTATGACGATGACGAGACGAAACTCCCCTCAGACCCCCTCAGCTGTTCTGAAATCATTGTAAACCATAGCATACTTCATCAAAGTGTGTGTGTGTGTGTGGGGTGAGTGCAACAATGTGCAGCCTCTCGCCTGCAGGTCTGTGAAGCCCCGCCCCCTGGAGCTTCTGATAATAAAAATAAAGGCTTGCGTCTGATTTTGTTGACTAAGATATCTTCTATTTTCGTCAACTAAAATGATGTGCAATTTTAGTCAGCGACCAATTGACTTAATTAAATCAATAACAAATGACTAATATCTGACTAAATATAAAGGATATTTTCGTCAGGAGACTATTACTAAATTAGAAAATGGTGTGAAGAATAAAACTGGAGGGGATATTTAATGAAATGCAGGAACATTGCTGTGTTTATGTCACAGTGCTGTGATTTGTTGATTACAGTTTTGGTCCACGATCATGAAACATCCATCATTAGAAACTCTGCTGAACCCCCTCCCCCCCTGTTTGAGAGAAATGCACCAACGAGAGAAAAAAGTGCTGTCGTGTAGAGACTCATCAGAGGGGACTCACCTTTGCCACTCTCAGCATTGACTTACAGGACCATCAAGCCCATATTGCAGTGACACAAACGGGCACATAATTGTGCAATGAGCATAACAGTAATGGCGGCCATAAGCTGGAGCCGTGGCAGTAACTAGCTGTGATCCCACTCAGACGTTTATTGGACGTTCTGGAGCCTTTTCTCTCATCAGGATCATTAAACATGACGATGGCGTGTCGTTATGTTGGTCCTGATGAGGGCTGACCTCGCCCTCCCAGAGCTCAGACGACCCGGAGCAGCAGCTCTGTTTGTGTGTGGAGTGTTGTAATACACCTGAACGCAGACACACGCACACGCCTGCTCAGCCCGCCATGTTTCACCCCGTTTGAAAAAGAAGGTTGGCTAATGACTCTGTAAGGTTTTTAACGAGACGCACTGGAGAATAATCAGAAGCACGAGATGATGGATTAAAAGATGAATACGCATGAGTACATAAATGAGGGCATGAATGGAAAGGGATAAACAAATGAGGCGGAGGATGGAGCGAGGTCGGGAGGAGTGAGAACAATCGGCCCCACAATCTCTGCGGGCTCCTTTTAGACGGCGAGCTTTGTCTCCTCCTCTTCTCGAAACGAGCTCCTTTAATCTGTCACGCCGCTCCCTCGCACTTTTGTTCTGCTCTTTATTTTGGTGGCAGAGCTCATTTCAGCTGGATGATCTGATCAATAATTACTATCCACAACACACACGCGCACACACACACACACACAGTCACATAGAGGCAATACTCTCTTGTTAATGAACACACAGCTCTGGAAGAAACACCAAATTATGAAACACAAGATACACACAGCCTCTCTCCCTCCCTCTCTGTCTCTCTCTCACACACACGCATATGCACACAAGCACACACACACACACACACACACACACACACACACCATTTGTCACGACTGTCACCCAGTTTGCGTTCACACAAGCACACACACACACACACACACACACACACACACACCATTTGTCACGACTGTCACCCAGTTTGCGTTGGCTTTGTTTTTGAGAGCCGGTTTGGAAATGTCAAGCTTTTTGGAGATTTATTTGGCTCCTGCCGCACGTCAGAGAAATTAATAATCAGCCTATAAGTTTGGACCTGCATCATCACTCACCTCTCTTTTACGCACACACACAGACAGACACACGAACACACACACACACTTTAATTGCTCATAATGCCGCTCACCTTTTTATAACCTCAGTTTTACTTAATTTTTTACAACAAACACGGTGAGTCTCCACTTCTAACGGAATTTTTTTTTTTGTGTTACGAATATGTCAGAGAGTCTGATTAAAGCAATGGTTCATAAACTTTCCCTGCAGTGCCCGGTGACACACACACACATACACCACATGCACACATACGCCAAATAAACAAAGTAGTTGGCATTTCTTAATTTCGAGGGCGATGTTAACTTCTCCACAGAACTTTTTATTTAGGTGATTTGTGGTAATGTAAAAACCTGTGTGTGTGTTGTGTGTGTTCCTGTGTGTTCCTGTGTGTATTAAAGTTGTATGTGTGTGAGTGTGTGTGCAGTCAGCTCCATGTGAAATAATAATGTGCTCTGATCTCTGGATGGAGTGAACAATACTTAACAGGGCCATGATAATAAGTATTAAAATCAGTGGACCAGAAAGAAAACGTGATGAAACTCTTAATTACAGGAGAGAGAGAGAGCGAGGAGGGGGAGGAGACAGAAGAGAGAGAGAGAGAGAGAGAGAGGGGGGAGAGAGAGAGAGAGAGGGGGGGAAGGGAGAGTGTGTGTGTGTGTGTGTGTGTGTGTGTGTGTGTGTGTGTGTGTGTGTGTGTGTGTGTGTGTGTGTGTGTGTGTGTGTGTGTGTGTGTGTGTGTGTGTGTGTGTGTTGAGACACAAAGAGAGATGGATCAGGGAGAGAGACGTGCTCTAATTCTCCTCCCTCTTGCTGTGTTGTATTGAGAAGAGGTTGGGGGGGCAGGCTGCAATCAACCACGCCCTGCTGTGGGCTGTGTACGCTCTGATCTCTTTCTCCAGCAACTCCTGCACACACACACACGCACACACACACACACACACACACACACACACACACACACACACACTAGCTGGAGTCAAGCCCTCCTTTTCCTCGATGTCATCTTTAAGCAGAGTCATCATGGTCATCTTCGTTTTCATTGGCCGATTGAGTCTGAGATGACACACGGCCTTCCTCGCCACCTGATTCTAACACGAGGTTCGCTCAGTTAATGTTGGTTATTCAGAAACATCTGGGGTGCAAAGGATGATGGGGGAAACTGAACTAAAATAAATTCCAGAAGACCGATCGTTTCGTCGGTATCGAGACACTTTTGATCGTGATATCGTGAAATAGTCCATAGCGTTACATCTCTCCTATTTTGTTTTCCGGTAATGGCGAGGACTAAATGTCTGTCTGTTAAAGTGATCTCTCGTGTTCTCTTCCAGCGTGCTGCTCCAGAGGGATTACAGCTTCCTCAGAGACATCAACATCTGGAATCCCTTTGTCACTGTCGGCGTTTACTCCTCCACGCTCTCTGCCGCCATGAGTAACCTCATCGGAGGCTCACGCATCCTCTACGCTTTGGCCAAGGACGACTTGTTTGGTAGGTAACCCGACCACCAGGCATGTGGCGTTGACTTTATTTGTAAATATCACAGCTGTCTTTTCCTGATCTGCTGTCACGCCGTGATGAATATTTAAATGTTTTTATGCAGCAGTAGACGCTCACGCTTCATTATGTAGCGGTCTTTGACCTAACATCCAGTGTTGCCACGGCAACGATAAACATGCTGTGTCTGTCATGGCAACCCGCCACAACAATACACGTCCCATTTCAACTCTAAAATGACAGATTTCACTGGCTTTGAAAACTGTTATACTGTTATATTTCAGGAAATGTAAGAAGTCAAGAAAAATATCTAACAGGTTTAGTCCATTTTTATTTAATTTAGATATGTAATCTAGAGCTGGCTAAACACTGAAGCTTCAGTGTCCACCACATGGCAACCTGCGTGAGCATGGACTCTAGAGAGGAGGGGCCGGGGGGAGACAGCTCTCTAAAATGTTTAGAATTTAGACTGCAGTACCCTTTTTAAACACTAGGTGTCAGAGTTACTACTGCTCCTTTAAGCTATAATTGTATTTTCTACTCCACTTCTCATTTACAATGTTTGAAAAAAGCATGAGTACATGAACCGTTTTCAGTTTTTTGTAGAGTTCTGTTCCCTGAGCTTTCTGTCGGCCCCCGCCTCGCTGTGGGAGTCCACGCCGCCCGCAACTTTGTCATTATTAACGATGCTGAGCAGATTGCCTCTCCCATCCTTTGCTCCTTTGTTAAGTCTATTGCAAATTGATTTGTCCTGTTTCTGTGTGTGTGTGTACACGTGCGTGTGCGTGTGTGTGTGAGTACATGTGTGTGTGTCATAGAGGTAAATGACTCATTAGTCGAAGTTCCTCTGTGGAGTGATCAGACGGAGCCGACTCTTGTTCGACTGTCTGTTACACACAAAGGGTTAACTTAGATGAATGTGTTTAATTAGGAGTCTGACTGCGGAGCCATAAATGTGAAATGTTCTTGTAGAGGGATGAAATGGTTTTGAATCCCGGTCCTCAGACTGTTCCACATGGCATGGCTCGGTATTGCTTGAGTTGAGCGCAGCATGGATGGATTAGCATCACCACTAGACAATAGGGTCTTCCTGCCGCAGGTGTTTAAACTGATGACCCGCTCCACACAGTGCAGCTGTGGCACGTGGTCAAAGGAGCGTGTTGAAATGCTGATTCCTCAGAGTTATCTAAAAACACCACTAACTGAAGCCCCGCTAAACCTCATTTAAAGTTCTTCACAATAAAAGCCCCCAGTTAAATTCCGTAAGTCCGTAAAATGCTTTTATTTTGAAGTGTGGCGTAATCAGCTGTTGTTGTCACTCATGCATGCCGCTCATTGCATAACCTTCCCACTGTCAAATGCAAACACAGAGATGACTATACACACACACACACACACACACACACACACACACACACACACACACACACACACACACACACACACACACACACACACACATTCCTTCGATCTCTTCTCTTTAACTCACTAATCTTCGGCTCCTTCACCTCTGTCTCTCAGTCTCACATTGATTTGACTTTAAATTCCTACTGATTAAATTCCAATCCTTTATCAGCTGTGAAATGTAGTCTTAAACTCACAGCCCCCCCCCTCACTCCTGTCCATGTGTTTTCTCCTCGTCCGTGTGGTCGGGTCTGTCTCGTGCTCCAGATGTGTAACCTCTCCTGCAGAGAGCCGCCTCTGCATTCAACACAAATGTCACCATGAAATGTCACATACAAAGAGAATGAGAGACGTTATGTAAATCGTCTTCCAGTAACCTACACCACCATATATATTAAAACAACTTTAGTTTGTCTACCTCGCTGTCCTGCCGCCCACTCACTCAGACGACGCTTTAAATGTCAGTTACATGAGGAAGTGACATCAGCAATCTAAATCTGATGGAGCTGATTACTGCTGCACTGTTGCATCATGGGAAACATCATGAAAGATGACAAAGTGAGACGACGCTGACGAGACGGCGCTGATGAGACGGCGCTGACGAGACACTGAGAACACTCAGTTTTAAGCTATCTCAGGCATTTTGTTGTGTTTTTGTGACGCTGCTTTCTTTCAGGCACTGTCTACTGTCTGCTCGCACACTGTTCCATGGCGTGAATGTTTGTCTCTGTCAATGATTGTCACGGCGTTGCTGTTAAGAAAATAAATAAATAAAAGTCTCAATCTAAATAATCTAGCGGTCCAGATATTATTTGCATGGTGAGACTTTAAATTGGACGTGTTCCCTGTAATTTGAAGTGTTTGAAAGTTTTCTCAGTAAAATCTTTTTTCTGGTCTTCAGGTAAGGTGCTGGCTCCGGCTAAGAAGACGTCTCACAGCGGGAACCCCTGGGTGTCGGTGCTCATCTCCTGGTTTCTCGTGCAGGTTGGTGGAAACGTAGATGGTAGATGTCGTAAACAAAGGTGTTTGTTACTTCATGACAGTCAGTCGGGTGCTACTTCAAGCTTTGGAGGAAACTTTAGAGAAACAGAACATCGTTAATCCTCGGTGATCCGTCTGAACATCTTTCTCAGAGCTCGCTTTAGCTTGTAGAAACCTGCAGTCCTGCATCAAGTGCAGAGTCAAAGTGCACGCTGGTCTAGGCGGTACCCCATTCAGTTTCTCAGGGTGGTTTCACATTAGGCACCCGGGCCCGGATCCAAGAACACTTGACCCCAGAGTGTGGTTCATTTGATCAGTGTGAAAACAAACGTACCGTTCTCAGGTACTGTGCTCGCGTCCGCTTGAAGAGGTGGTCTCGGTGGTCGTTTAATGTGTACTCGAGTACGGTGGGAGATCAAGCTCCAACAAGGAAGTGGTCCGCTTCATGACGTCATTCTAAACGGCTACTGACAGTTCAAAATTTGTCGTATCCGTGCAGCACGGCCACGTTTCATCCTCTGAGCTGCTCAGTAGACGCAGGAAGTTCTTTGTTGGCGTCTCAGAAATTAGAAAAACATCCACAGTTAGCAGGATGGACTCAACCTGCAGGTGGTTGCCATGGTTACTTTGAATGTCATTGAGACGAGCTAGCTTAGAGCGTTTTGTTATTTTTCTGTCCACTTCCTGTTGTGTGGACAGATGTTCCTGAGACTCGGAGTGGATTCTTCTTCGTTGGGTAGTCTGCCCTCTTGTTGGAGCATCGTATCTCACTGCAGCATCAAGACGTTCTCCAGTCGATGACCTGGAGATGGAAGTAAAAGAAATGATCCAGGAGCATCACAAAGTCCAGTTATTTGTCTCTCTCTCGAGTGTCGGACGCCGTCTCTGCACATCGTCTCTAAACATGACCTTTGACCCTCATATATGAAATGCATTGTTTACTGTTGGTTGTAAAGAGAAAAGTTGAGTTCTTCGAGGGTCATGAACACAGATCTAACTCTGGTTTTAAATCTTTTAGAGAAATCAATAAATCAGAATCAGAAATCCTGCAGAGCTCTGAGACCAATCAAACCCGATCAGGCGGAGAAACTTCTCTTTTATTTCTGAGCTAACAGATGCACGGTTGGCTTTGCACTGGGACAGAATAAGTCCAAACTCTTACTGACTGGATACTGAATCATTATTTATAGAACTTCTCCTCAGGCAGAAAGATCAGAACGGCCTTCAGTGTAACTCGAGAGAATCCTTAGTCCAAACTCGACGGACTCATCCTGAAGAGAAAGTAGTTTGGTTTGTTCCGCTGGTCGTCTGTTTCCTGTCGCTGCTCAGTCTGCTCCAAACTCGACGGACTCATCCTGAAGAGAAAGTAGTTTGGTTTGGTCCGCTGGTCGTCTGTTTCCTGTCGCTGCTCAGTCTGCATCAATGCTAACCTGAGATACGCTACATTATGTTTCTACTTTTGCATTGAATACTCACTCTCGGTGGGAGTGAAGGAGTTGAAGTATCTCGGTGTCTCGTTCACAGTAAGGGTAAAATGGACGTGAGCTTGACAGATGGGTTGATTCAGTGTCTGCAGGGCTTTGTGTAGGACCGTTGTTGTGAAGAGGAAGCCGAGCCTGAAGGCAAAGCTCTCGATTTACCGCTTGATCTTCATTCCAACCCTCCCCTGTGGTCATGAGCTTTAGATAGAGACTGAAAGAATGAGATTACAGATACAATCGGCTGAAATTAGTTTCCTCTGGAGGGCGTATGGGCTCAGTGTTAGAGAGACGGGGAGGAGCTTAGACATTCAGGCAGAGCTTGGAGTAGAGCCGCTACTCCTTCGCATTGAGAGCCAGGTGAGGTGGTTCAGACATCTGATCAGGATCCTCCTGGACTCCTCCCTTTGGAGGTTTTCCTGGCACACTCAACTGGGAAGATCCCGGGGTAGACCCTGGAAGGATAACAAACCCACCTGGCCTGGGGGGCGCCTCAGAGTCCCCCAGAGACCCAACCTCAGATCAGGGAAAGAAGATGGATGGATGGGGTCATTTTTCTAAAAGCAAAGAATGAGACCCTCAAGCTTTGTACTTTTCAGTGGAGTCCATTAAACTGTCCTTGGAGCGCCAACATGATTACAGACAGCAACTCGTCAGAATAATGTCGCTTTGAAACTTCTTTTACTCTCGGGTCTTAAATGGTGGAAAGACGTCAATACAGACGAGAACTTATTGACGGAGAAGAGTCAGGTTGAGGATAGAGAGACAAAGGGGAGAAGGGTCTGAGGAGCCAATCGTCCTGACTGTCCCGTCATTATCAGTGGTGAGAGGAAAAGGCTGAATGACTCTCTCGCTCTCTATTCTCCGTCCCTCTCTCGCTGCTTCTTCTCTGTATCCTTTGCTACTCAACGGTTGTGAGGACGAGCAATTAGATGGAAATCGTTAGCTGCACCGCTGTCACCATCAGAGATTATTGACTCCCTCGTCGTCTTTCTCTCCACCTTTTCCTCGGCCATATGAATGATTCACTGATGACAAAAGTCTGATAGTGATCTCACCTCACACACTCAAACACACAACACGACTGGGAACAAAGAAGTAGGAGGATCATTCAGGCACAAGACGAGACTTTCTTTAATGTTCTTTTCTGTAAAAGGAAGATTACTCCACCACGTGAAGAAAGAGTCCAGAAAAACAGGATATGAATTAAAGTAGGAAGAGCTTATGACTGGGGTAGGTGTGGTCAAAGTATGACGCAACCAAACACAAAAAGGATCTCATGGAGAAGATGGAGAACAGCGCCGCTAAAAAGTCGAAATGTTGTGTTTGCGTGAAGAAAGACAAATCAGAAATCTGCATATGAGTTCAGAATTTGTTTATTAGCCATCTAGTATAATGTAACTCTGACCCCTAGTGTTTAAAATGGGTACTGCAGTCTAAATTCTAAACATTGGAGAGAGCTGTCTCCCCCCGCTTCCTCCTCTCTGGAGTCGATGCTCATGCAGGTTGCCATGTGGTGGACTCTGAAGCTTCAGTGCGCCCGCTGACTTTGACGGCCAGAGGTCAGAGACGCTCTCTTTTCCTTTCTCACTCATCTCTCTTCTCTGCGTCTCTCATCTCACTTTCCTCGCTCTTCTTTCACACCTCTCCGTCATCGCCGCTCCCTCAGCTCATCATTCTCTTGCTCGCTCTCTCTCTCTCCGTCTGTCAATAATACACCATCAATTATCCTAATCCTCGAGCTCAACAATAAAATAAAGTCCAGCTTCATCGCAGTTTCTCAGCCAATTATAATCCCCTGATAATTAGAGAGAAGGACGTCCCTGTCCGTTCGTTTTTCTCATCATGAGCAGCTCACAGAGGGATGAAGAAGGACCACATGATGATGATGATGAAACACGCCTCACTGCAGTAAAACGGCGTGCTACATGTGGAGTGGAACATTGGGAATATTTCCGTTGTTTCAGCTTGAAAGTGTTCGTGCGTTTGAAGGCGTCCATGAAAGATTGTTTCCTTTTTACACACAGCTAAGAAACATGAGTGACCGTCAGTGGATGAACAGACTGTTTCAAACCCACTACTCCCAGTACTGAGTTCTAATTGGGTGTAATTGATTCAATAAGTGGACTTCAGCTGACATTGGGCTTTTATTTCTTGTATATATTGAAGCTGAACGCATCCATATTTATTCTCAAACAGTGGATCCAATGGTTAAAGTAACGCCAGCAGATATCTGGGAAACTGGTTCCTTTATGATGGCCATTGTTTACAGTTTGGCGAGCACCTTGGGACCTCAGGGTGGCGTTGCGGTTTCACGCCTCCAACATGATTGAGATTGATGTTTCTATTTAGAGTTAATAAAATCATTTTTCATTCCAGGATTTCATTTCATTCACAGTGTGTTATACCTCATTTGTTGTGAAAATGTGCTTTTTTTATTCCTTACAAACAAATCCATCTTTAATCGGACAGTCCAAATTCTAAACATTGTAGAGAGCTGTCTCCCCCCGCCCCCTCCTCTCTAGAGTCGATGCAGGTTGCCATGTGGTGGACACTGAAGCTTCAGTGTTTAGCCAGCTCTGCATGCTGTTCTCCAGTATGTTCTTCTCCACTCTTTAGTTCAGATTAAGATTCTGTTGAACTACACTTAGCATTGATAGAAAGACAAATACTCTATTATAGCGTTGTGTAGCAGACTCTGCTGACTCCCCTCCTGTCTGACAGGGATGGTCTCCCGCTGTGAGGTGCATGTGTGAACAACAGGTCAGGTTTTATCCAGAGCAGTCCTGAAGTTATCCAGATATTTTCAGGAGTGCAGATGTGGAAACAGCTTTATTTGTGTTTACCACTTTCCACAACACAAATACTTGACTTCCTAAATTACAAATGTGACCATGTTCATGGTTTTAATCTCAGGAGTGATGCAGCTCTGACTGTTCCTCACGTTGACTGGCAGGTCTGCATTAACTTGCAGAGAGATTCATGAAGCCCTGTTCACACATTCAGGTGTCAGAGAACCTTGCAGGGAGCTGTTCCTCTAATGAGGTCATCATCCGCCTCGTCTATTAGAGGTTACTCTCTGCTGCTCAGTCAGAGAGCGAGGCTGAATCTCAAACACTCACTCCAATCAGCTGCTGATAACTGAACATGCAGCTGCAGCGGCTCCCAAACACAAGCAGACTAGATACCATCTTAATTAAACGTGAACATTAGCCTCAATCTGTAGCTCCCAAACCGGAGCCAGGGGAGCAGTGGAGGTCCGCGCTGGTCCCAGGAGATCTGTGGAACACTTTAGTTTCCACACGTCTCCGTAGAGGTTGGTCGACTCTGTCCTAAACGTCCCCTCTCAGCTGCAGGGTGGGTAGATAATCATATCTGAAGTCTACGGGGGCCCAAAGTAGGAGAATGCTCAATTACCAAGAGATCCTCAAGTGGGAAAAGCTTCTTGTTTCTCAACCATTCATTTCACTTCTTTCGATTGAAACTTCTGGTTCTCAAGCATTCATTCTCTGAGAATCGGTTCCTCTGTCTGACTGTTGAATGTCGTTCATGTGATTGTTAATCCTCTCTCTCTCTCACCCCCCCTCTCACTCCCCCTCTCTTTCCTGCTCTCTCTCCCTCTCTCTCCCTCTCTCTCTCTCTCTATCTTCCCCTCTCTCTCCCTCTATTTTCTGCTCTCCCTCTCTCTCTACCCTCTCCCTCCCTCTCTCTCCCCCTCTCTCTACCCTCTCCCTCCCTCTCTCTCCCCCTTCTTTCTCCCCCTCTCTCTGCCTCTCCCTCTCTCTCTCTCCCTCTCTCTCTTTTGTGTCTTTCTTTCCAGCTGGTGCTCTTCTCAGGGAAGCTCAACACCATCGCCAGCATTGTGACCATCTTCTTCCTGCTGGTCTACGCGGCTGTGGACTTGGCCTGCCTGGCTCTGGAGTGGGCGTCGGCACCTAATTTCAGGTACACATTCATAAAGCCTCTGGAGTTCTGGCTGGAAATAGAAACGCTGCATGTATGATAAATAAAGATAAGAGTCTTTTAAAGAATCGACTGAGGGGATAAAAAACATTCTCAACTATTTAAAAAAATCTAGATCATCTTCCTGTTTAGACTGTTCTTTGAGACTCTGGAGGCGTGGCCAATCACAAATCAAATGTCCCTCTGACTGCAAACAGAGCTGGCCAATCAGAGGAGAGTGGGCATGTAGGGAGGCGGGGTCTTAAAGAGACAGCAGCTGAAATGAAGCGTTTCTCATTTATAATACTTAAAACTAAAGTAACCCCTCGTCAGGGAAGTTAGGATAATCAAAAATAATCTCCTTTCTACTTAAAACTAGAACAGTTATGAACATAATTATTAGGGCTTGACCGATGTGGGATTTTTGGGGCCGATACCGATATTGGGGAAAGAAAAAATCTGAAATTGATATATCGGCTGATATCTTTCTCCGATCTGAAGCGATGGATATAAATATAAATTAACACATTTATTGTGTTGATCCCTCAGATATCAAACACTTGTGTAAAAGATATTTAATGAAGACGAGATGGTCACTCAGCTGGAAAGTAACTGAGCATGTACGTGCATCACCAGGAGAGTGATTTTGCTTGTTGTATCCATATAGCGCCCTCTGCTGATGATAGAGAGCTGCTAGTGTAATACAATAAAACTCAAATGAAATGTTGTTTGACTGGAAAATAACTCGAGTAATGTCGGTGTATATCTGAGATGAAATAAGCCAATAGTGATAGTCACATGAGATGCTATTATCGGCTGGCCGATTAATCGGTCTGGCTCAATAATTGTGACCTTTATGAAATAGTTTGAAGGCTCCTATTGATTTCGGTTTCCAGAGGCTTTAACACACACACACACACACACACACACACACACACACACACACACAGCTAACTGTAAGTCCTAACGTAGGCCTCTGATAGACATCGTGTAGCGTTGGTCGGTCGCTCCTGTTCCTCTGCAAACACTCTACACACTGCTCCTCCTCTCTCTTTGCTTCCTCTCTCTTTGTTTATGTGTGTGTGTGTGGAAGCAGCTGGTTGTGTGCCAGCTGGAAACTGCTGTGGGGACAGTGTACAAATTAAAAGACATAAAACTGGCCGCTGCTTCCAGCCCCATATTGGAAAGGGAGCAGCCATAAAACGGTGAGTTTGTGTTTGTTTTTGTGGAGCTGCAGCCTGGACTGGAAGCTCCAGTAACAACGCATGAAGACGCTGGGAGATTTAAATTTACAATGTTTGTATTTCTGCATCGATGTGTGTGCGTGGGCTGTTTGTGTACTTTGGACACTTGCAATGATCCTGATTTATAATAGCTCCCTGAAGTCATTTTCACACAACAGTAGGATAACCTGAGGACGGAGTCTGTGCAGATGTAGCTCGATGATTACATCACCACATCACACTTTAACTTCTGATTCACTCTGCAGCCTTTTTATGAGACTCTCCTCATCCTCTGTGAGAAGTGTTTACGTTGTCATCCACATCTTTCATTTAAAAAAGTTGTTTTTCTAAAGGCGCACCTTCCCTTAGATTAAACTTCTCCACCGGCTGTGAAAACTATTTGAACATGACAACTGCTCCAGTTTTTATTTGTTATGGAGGAGCGACGCTGCTTAAACACCGTGTATCACTTTATTGTTGTGACAGTTCGCCTCCAGCGGTGCGTTTGGTGTTTCCTGTCTCTATTCAGTTATTGTTGGAAGAGGATGAGAGAACATCTGCAGCTTCCAAGATCAACGACTCCTCCGTCAGCTGAAAGCAGAATACAGAATCAAACCTTGTTCACATCAGTGGACCAAGTACACGACTTCATCACTTGAGTGTAGATACTCCAGGACCAGAGAAGGTAGGCAGTTTTAAGGCACCCCCATATGCCCATTTTGGACGCCCCTCAGTTTGCCAGATATGAGAGCAGTTATCAAGTCAAACCAAAGGTGTTGCAGCGATGGAAGCGTGCTCAAACTAGGATCAATATTGGAGATGCTTTTGAAAAATGGATAGAGGTTAGAAAGCAGAAAGGTTTACAGACGCATGCAGAGCTGGCTAAACACTGAAGCTTCAGTGTCCACCACATTGTGGATGAGCATCAACTCTATAGAAGAGGGGGTGGGGGGAGAGAGAGCTCTCTACAATGTTTAGAATTTGGGCTGTAGTACCCATTTTAACCACTAGGGGTCAGAGTCACATAAGTGACGTATTTTCTAGATGTGCGAGTGCAGTCAGGAACGCGTGCGAACATTCTGCTACATTATGTTGATTTAGAAAATATTATTTACATTTTTTAAACTCACATGCTTCAGATTTACAAATCTGCCGCTCTAAAATAAAAGGAGCAATACCAACCAAAGAAAACCTGATGAGCTGATGGGAACATGTGACTTATCAGTCGGGCAGAGGGGCGTAATCAGGATGAGGGACGTCTTCACTGAGCATTTCTCTTGTGAAGTCCAAGAACAGACGCACTGAGCTGTAAAGAAGCAAATTATGTCGTCATTAGAATGTTTTACTTTGCCACAAGAGGGCACTGTCAACGCCCGTCTACAGAGTCTGGCTCAGTGAGCAGTTTGTTGTTGACGAGGGAGAGAAAAACTTTGTGTGCAGTTAACTAAGTTCCCAGTATTTCCTCTGGTGTCGTCCATGTACAGCCGTGTGTGTACTATCAGCTCCGGCCTTGTTATCACTCGGTGACCGCTGGCAAAGGCTACAGGACACAGAGTTAGCAGCAAAACTTTCTCTACACTCCATCTCTTCTCTCCCTGTAGGCGGGGTGACTCGGGGGCCCTGGAGCTGATAAGGCGCTTTGTTTGTCTGGCCTGCCGCTCTGCTCTGGGCCTCCTTCTTCTTCCCCTGAGTTTCTTAATTCTGCAAGTTCATTGTTGCTGTGTCACCGGCAAATTTGAACGCTGGTTGTTTGTGTGTTTTATCGCCTTGTTTATTTTTATTTCTCGAGCCGTGTGCTTCGTTCGCTGCGCTCTCTGTCTGGCCCTCTCCCACGTCTCTTTCCAGGCAAAAAGAATTAAAAGCCATTTAGCGCCGTCTCTCCCCTTGAGAGCTGCTCTGTAATTAGCATAACTAATTTAGCAGAAATATTTCCCTTTCCCGAAAATGTGCTGTTGTGTAGGAGAGGCGAGGGGAGGGATGAAATTATGATGTAGCGGAAAAGATGTCTGTTTAAGTGTGTGTGTGTGTGTGTGTATGTGTGTCTTTGTGCTTGTATTTGCACATTCACAAGTGTGAAGGTATGTAATTTAAAACCATGTTTGTTTGTAATCCAAGTCACGCTGGGTGTTGCTTAGTGTTTGTCTGATTCTTGATGTGTGAGTGTATCTGCCTGTCTGCCTAAGTGTGTGTGTGTGTGTGTGTGTGTGTGTGTGTGTGTGTGTGTGTGTGCGTGTGCGTGTGCGTGTGCGTGTGCGTGTGCGTGTGCGTGTGCGTGTGCGTGTGCGTGTGCGTGTGCGTGTGCGTGTGCGTGTGCGTGTGCGTGTGCGTGTGCGTGTGCGTGTGCGTGTGCGTGTGCGTGTGCGTGTGCGTGCAGGCTTCTGTTGGCTGCAGCTTTATCAGCGGCGGCTCCGGCTGTGTGTGAGTGTTCCTCTTGGGGCGCTCTGTGTCCTGCTGCTGATGCTCGGGCGCAACTCGGACGTGTGGCTTAAATACGCCTGAACAAACACATAAAGTCATTCATGTAGGAGTGCAGGGTCACTGGCTAGAATTCAGGACACAACTGAGCCCCCCACTCTGATGCCAAAGGCTGCTGCGCTGAGCTCCGTCACACACAGCCGACGACCTTTAGTCAGAGCGTGCCAACAACAGCTGGCATTTCTACAGAAACACACATTCAGCCTGTTTTTACTTTTACCAGCTTGAGGCCATCTGACGTCCAAATGAAAGCGGCGCTCTCTGCAGCCTCCGTGATTGTCTCTTCAATAATCTGTGCGAGTCGAGCAGCTGAAGCATTAGCTCCAAAAACAGAACACGTGGACCTCTGCCGGGCCTGTCCTCGGTCCAAATATGGGGCGCAGTGGGTTGATAGACTGGGCTGTGAACGGATCCAGATGGATCATCAGCTGTGTGCACGGATGAGAGGATGCAGATTCTTACAGACTCACTATGTGTTATGACTTTATGATAAAGGTGCCTAGCTGAGTTCAAAAAGGTCCTCTTTGATAAGGTCTCTTCCAGATACTAAATCTTTTTCAAATCTCAGGTCTGCCAGTGGCGGGGACCTTTCCTGAGGTAACTTCTCACACACTCCCTGATCTCTTGCCACCACCTCCTATCTGCTGCGTGGGTGTGTTGGGCGTGTTTGGATAGAGTTTCCGTCCCCACTTTCCTGGTCATGACGTGGTCTTTGGCTAAAGGCCGGACCTTCTCTCTCCATCCCTGCCGCTCCCCGTTTCTTTTTCTTAATGTCTCTGAGGACTTGATTGGCGGCGATTATGCATGCTCGTTTTGCTGCGTCAGCTAAATGACATCAGAACAAGAGGGGCGGCAGAATGGGTGAGAGTGAGGTGACTCGATGGAGGGACCGCCACCGCTGAAGACGGAGCGCAAAGAGGGGGGAGGGGGTGAGCTTTTAGTGTAATTAGAGTGGCGCTCCAATGGGATGGAAAGAAGGTTAAGATGAGAGAAGAGTGGGCGCCGTCAAGGCCGAGAGATTGAGTCCAGAAGAAATAAAAAGACACACTTAAAGACAGCTGGTCCACCTTTTCAAGCCGTCTCTGTAACGCTGTCTGATCAGGAAATAAACAATCTCAAATATAAAACATTCAGTAAAAAGTAACGGAGCAGTGACAGTCATACAGCGGCCAATGTCAACAGACTGTTGTCATAGAGACAGGAAGGGCGAGCAGCACTTTTCTTCTCACCAAACAGGTGAGGTGTGATTGACCCTGCAACAGAATAACTCCATCAGTTGCAAAGTTGCCCGAATATTTCACTTCAAAAAGAGAGTAAAGGGGAGGAGTCAGAGGATCGCCCCATTTATTCAGCTTTGGGGACCACGCACTGCAGACCACATCTCTTTGTAACATGACTGATAATCATAGAGATATTTATCTCCCTCTCTCTCTCTCTCTCTCTCTCTCTCAGTCATTGTATCAAACAGTACAGAGACGGACTAACTGGCTGCTTTGTATCTGAAGGCTGCTGTGTGAACTAACGCCGTAAAGACGTACGCACTTCTCACCAGATGACCTCGGCCCGCTGACAAAGTTACATAGTGCTGAAAACAGGCGAGCGGGGCGCTCTGTGGACCCGAGAGAGACGCCATCCTCCCTGTTGGAGGTTATTGTTCTATTAGATCGACTTTGAAACAACTGAAGGGGGAGGAGTTACAGGTTGACGCTTTTAATGGCGGGTCTGTTATTTGATGTCTGTTGTTGGGGCAGCGTTGTGTAATGACAGCTGGCGCTCTTTTAATGGCTGCTGCTCATTCAAACAGTGGCTGTTGTTGCGGGGAAATTGGGGTCAATTACACGATCCTCCATATCTGAGAGCGGCTCCATCAGCGGCATCACTGCTCGGACCGCTTACGCTTATTAACACTTAACGAGCACTCACACACACACACACGACAGCGTTTTACAATAAGTACGCCTGAAGTGGGCCTTAAATAGGACTGAAGCTCGTTGTTGTTTGTGGATTCAGAGCGATGCTCACAAACATGGGCGGCGTGAAGCCGTCTGCAGCTTATTATCTGAGTGCACTGTTTGCTTTAATTGCTCTCGTCCCGGCACGTAAGCCACTTCTTCTTTTGAGACTGCTGTGAATTCTGTGTGTGTGTGTGCGTGTGCGTGTGCGTGTGCGTGTGCGTGTGTGTGTTCAGGTTGAATCTAAACTCTTTAAAACATTTCAGCATTATGTGAGTAAACATTGAGATGCTGAAACGAGATTTTATTTAAATCACTGCGGAAACCATCATAAATCCTCTAATAATTACTGGTAGTCAATCAGTGGGCCAGGCCTCATATTACGTCTGGGAGCGTGGCCTCAACATAAACAAATAAGGGCCTTTTTACAAGCCGGGGGTCTTCTTAAGGGTTAAGATGAAGTCTGTTTTTAACGGCGCTGCTTTTCTTGGCGCCGTTAGCGACGGCCACTCGCGATACTGCTCAGCCAATCAAAAATTTCACTCAGACCAGACACAGGAAGTGAAGACGATGAGGTGTGATAATTACAGAAACACCTGGAGGAGTCAGCAGACGAGGGGGGTCTCAGAGACAACGTGAGGAACTCAGTGAGTCACGGACGAGTCGACATGGCGTGCTCTAAAATTAGAAAAGAAGATGCAAAGAAGTTCTTCTTCCTGGCAGCACATCACGCCAACGTTCATCAACCTCCACTGGCTCCTGGTCAGGTCCTGCATCAAAATCCCCCCCCCCCAAATACTTCTCTGAACTCCTCCACTCCTACACCTCTGACCCAGAACCTTATGGAAACCGTGTGTACAGTGAATTTAGATTTGATTCCTGTCGACTTTTTCTCTGGAGTCCTCTGACATCTCTCCATTAGTGCATGTCCACAGGATCCTGTTTGTGCATGTGTGTGTATTTGTGTGTGTATTTGTGTGTGTAGCATGTCACAGTTAGTGTGAAATTGAATTTACCCTCACAGGATCAATAAGGAGATCTTCTTCTTGTTCTTCTTGTTCTCTACAAACTGATTATCAACAGCAGGACAGGATTGTTTTTGAAGTTTTAGATTAACGTTGACTCCTTCACCCCCTCGTTCTCCTTTAGACCCACCTTCCGTTACTTCACCTGGCACACGTGTGTGTTGGGCATCGTGGGCTGCCTCGTCATGATGTTCCTCATCAACGCCATCTACGCCTCCGCCAGCATCGCCTTCATGCTGCTGCTGCTTCTGGTGATTCACTACCTCAGTCCCACCTCCAGCTGGGGCTACATCAGCCAGGCTCTCATTTTCCACCAGGTCTGATGCACACACACACACACACACACACGCTCGTGCGCACACCCACACACACACACACACACACACACACACACACACACACACACACACACACACATACACACTCAGACGTACAATCTCAATACTGCATTGTCATTACCAGAGCAACTAAAATCTCATCCCCTCAGCTTTACAAGAGCCTGTTCCTCTGCCAAGCAATCGTTCCATCAGGTTTATCGAGACACACACTCACACACACACACACACACACACACACACACACACACACACACACACAGATGGATGTTTGCTGCCTCTCCCTCAGCCAAACCCTCTGCATTTAGCGCACAAACACACACACACGTTTCCCTTTTTGTCTTTTTTTTCTCAATCATAAACACAACACCGCCTCATCGTTCCTACAGCAGCTATCTATCATGTTTATATCAGGTTTACCAGACACACACACACACATCTGCATCTTCTCCCTCAGCAAAGCTCTCTACATTCATCATTCACACACACAGCTTTACATCATGCAGCCCTCCTTGTCCTCTATCTGGCGAGCCTGTTGCTCTCAAGGAGAGGGGGCCATGTTGCCAAGAGGGCCACTTGCCGAGGAGGTCCGTTGCCAAGGCTGCGGGCCTGGGGGTTGTGGGCAGGGAGGCTGAGGGTGGCTGCGTTTGCCAGCAGCTTGTCAGGAGGCAGAACATTATTACAACCACTTACCTTATTGAGCCTTTCCTCATTGTCCTCCTTTCCCGTCTCTGATCCGGTTTTTCTTCTCCTCCACCTCCCTCTCTCCCTTCGACGCTGTTTCTCTCAACCCGGAGAAACCAGGGGATCAGGGCCAGAGGGGTGGTCAGGCGTACTGCAGGCCCCTCTGGATTCTGATTGGCCGTTCTCTCTGAGTCAGGAGGTGAAAGGTAAAGAGAGGGTCAGACAATACCCCGAGGATGTAGTTCTGTGTGCACTGAGATGGATAAAATTCAATATAAAACTCATCCAATGATAAAAACATATTTTAGAGAAATCAATGCTGAAATATTTAAAAGAAGCGAGTAAGGCCTCGAGGAAGGAGCGTGAAACTGGGATCAGACTACCATCAGAAGGTGATGGCTTATTAGAACCAGTGATGGATCAGAGACCCAGGAGCCGAGGCTGCATGTCAGTGACTGTTAACAGGTCCTGTCAGTTCACTGCACTGAGACGGGGAGGGCATTAACTGAAATTATCTAGATATTTTCAGGAGTGCAGATGTGAAAACGGCCTCAGAGATTGTACAGAGACAAACAGCTGCTTTCACATTTGCAGAGAACTCCAGTCCAGATGTGCTCAGTGATACCTTACTCTGTGTGATCGGACCCCGAGAGAGCATTTCCCTCACGTCCTTGTAAACGTCCCCTTGTGAACACAGACTTAACTTGAGATGATCCATACCAGAGCAAACGATCTACAGGTGTGAAAACGCCCTGGATGTGTTCATGTAGACGCACAGGGACCAAAAGAGAACCCCCCCCCCCAAAGAGTCTACCTCAAGACTCTCAGCGTATGCGTGCACATATCACACACACGTCCTCCTCTGCTGCTCCCTAAAGCTCGAGCCTGTGTGGCGCAGCGCCAACTGGGTGACATTGAAGCAGGTACGGGACACACAACAGCTCGTAACAAAAACAGCTCACAGCGAGATAACGGGCGGCTGACGACCGATTGTACGAGGAAAAAGAGAACCAAGAAAAAGACAAACGGAGTCAAGAAAGCGCCGATGGTATCGCTGTGGGGAGAGATAGAGGCAGGCGGAGGTGATGAGTGATGGAGAAAGTAAGTGATGGATGAGAGTGACGCAAGGGAGAAATGATGATCGCCTGATGGATGAGAAGACGGTGGGGAATGGAGAGATAAAGAGAGACAGATGATGAGACGAGTGGAGGCAGTTGGGCTAAACCTCAGAGGCCTCGTTTTCTGCCTCTTTTATGGCTATTACGGGACGGAAGCGCGCAAACAGTCTTGGTGATTATGACAGTAATAAGATGATTGATGGATGTTTAGACGCACATGTTTACGCTGCAGCAGCTTCAGGACCTCCACCCAAACACGCAGTCATTAAGGTGGGATAGTCTGGTTCTTCTTTTCAAAATAAAAAAAACATTTCTAGATCAATTTCACATCATCAGGGATCCTTAAAGTTACCCTGAAAGGTTAAATCTTACAGACAACTCAAACATGGCAGATAAGCGGTCGTACAGCTGATGGTCGTTGGTCCCTTTTGATGAGTGTTAATCATTAATATCAAAGTTCAGGTTTAGCAGGCAAGCAGAGGTTAACTTACCTAGTAACCTAGCAACAACGAGCGCTGGTGAGAAGCGCCCTGAAAGCGAGGTTGTGGGCACTGTCGGTGCAAAAAGAGCCGTTTGTGGACACAGACCTTTTATGAGGCATGTTTAAAAAGCTGCACCTGAACGCCGCCTAAACTGACCTCGTGCTGAATCATTTCCTCTGTGGTACAATTGGAGGTCGAGAACGCGCTTTGAGAAAATGTGCCCACTTGGGTTCCTACGAGCCAGATCTTAAGGCCTGAAAAAAAAAAAAACAGGGAAATGGACGCTTCAACTAAACGGTGCAAAAGTTCATTAAACAAGAGACAGAAAATGAAACTCAAAGAGAGTGAGGTGTGTTTGTCAGTGTGTCGGCTGAACGGCGTGCTGTACGGTGTAAACAGAAGCTAACCACGACAGCAGCACGGAGCGACGAGGAGATGCGTGGACACGATGAGAGATTGAACGGGTTGACTGCCGCATCTTAAGTACCTGAGAGACTGGCCAGGTCTGCCCAGGTGCAGCAGAACCCTCCCAAAGGACCAGCAGGGAAACAGAAAGGGGGGTCACACATTGTATCCCATTTTGTACTCGTTTGACGCTCTGGTGTTTGTTTGACCGCTGAAACGAGTTGGAGGAGCCGTCAGCCGGAGCGTCTGTGTGCCGCCTCATGAAAACTCTGAAATAAATGCAGCACCTGCATCATGTTTAACTTCCGATTACTTCATTAAGTCGCCCTCATTATATTTCTCCAGAGTGATTCATTTCAGTTTTTTTCCTTCTGCATAAGAAACGAAGTGAGCTCGAGATGTGGAAGTCATTATCAGGGTTATTATGGGCTGTTGCATGAAGCCCATGTGAGATCTTAATGCACCAATGATCCATGAAAGTTACTTCCCCTTTCTGCACACGTCTCTGATCTTAGGGGGGGGGGGGGTCGGAGCCAACACAGATTCACTGTAAGAGGGTTTGTATATACAGTACGTCGCCACTTTCTTAATTAAAATGATGCAGTGATTTTGGAAGCATGCAAGATTTCACTCTGAACCTGAAGGCTGAAAATAGAATCTTATTATAAGAAAGTCTCCTGCAGTCTCAGAGAACCACACAGATGAGTACATTAAAGAACGCCGCCTTAAAACATCCAACAGTCCTGCACACGGCCGCCTCAGTCCACGTGTGTGGACCTCTGGCGTCAATGAAAAGGTCGACTAAATCTCTCTTCTCTCTTCTCTCATAGGTGCGTAAGTACCTGCTGATGCTGGACGTGAGGAAGGACCACGTGAAGTTCTGGAGGCCTCAGGTCCTGCTGATGGTTTCTAACCCTCGTAGCAGCGTGGGCCTCATCACCTTCATCAACGACATCAAGAAGAGCGGCCTGTACGTGCTGGGCCACGTCAGATCGGAGATCTCAGTAAGGACCGTGAAAAGTTCAAAAGTCTACCGGCTGTTTCGTCCCTCTTTCTTCTTCTTCTCCTTCTGTACGAGCTTCTCTCTAGAAGTCGACTGTTGAACTCTCTGCAAACGTCTTCAATCTCAGGATGTCAGGACGGGCTGTGAGCTGAGCTGCCCTCGGTCTGTCTGTGCTGCGAGTCCTACAGGGTGCCACCTTTGGGATACTTTAACACCGAGCTGAACTTCCTGCAGGTCTCCACAGAAGCAGAACAGACGGGTAGCAAAGGATGGGCGAGCGATGGAGAGGCGGAGTTTAGGGAGGTTGTCATGTGTGGAGCACAGACGAGTTTGAGGAGTTTTTTGAATGAGTCCAAAGATGGATCATTGTGGACGTCTGACAGAAAGGAGACATGGTGTGTGAGTGAAGGAGGTTGGAGAGGTGCTGAGGGGCGAGGAGCGGTTTATAAGTGAGGAGGGGTGTTTAGTATTTGATGAAGGGAGTCGGGGGTGGATGAGGGTTGGGATGATGTGCTGACAGGGCTTGGTCCAGGAGAGGACTCTGGCAGCGGAGTTTTAGACATATTGGAGCCTGTTCAGGGATTTGCTGGGTACCCCAGTCGGGACTCCATCACAGTAATCCACACAGGAGGTCATGAAGGCGTGGGCGAGGGTTTCAGAAAACCAGTCAGTTCTGACTCCCAACCTTCTCGTGCATGAATAAGTCGGTTCATCAGGAGTACCTGAGCGCTTTCTTCTGCACCGTTTCTCATCGAACACACACAGGGAGACGCAGCGACTATTAATTATGAGCCAAACAAATCAGGGGTGCTGCTGGGATGTACTTCCTTCTGGATAATTTAACATTATGAGGGTTGTTTTTGAGGCTGCAGTGACTAAGCTAAAAGCTTGTTGTGACTCATCTTTCACTTTGTTGAATTTTACACACGTGTCTTCATTCAGAGTTGGCTTTAATGACTTTAAGGAAATCTAAATGAGCAGAATGTCTTCTTCTCCTCCAGTCATTCAGGGGATCTTTTTAGTATGCCCTCCTTCTCCCCGTGATCTCTGCTGCTGCTTTATGGAAGTAATCAGTCATAGAATGCTCCGGAGGCGTCTCACACTCTGAGATCTGAGAGGGAGCAGGGTCATTGATTGTTTTCTTTGTCTTTGGAGAATTTGGTTTGTTTGGAGTTTTCATGTCTTGATTGGAGACGGGGACCTCGCGATGAATGAAGTCTTCAGAATCCAAATCCTCTTAGTGCCTCAGTATCAGAAAGGATATGTTCATTAGCAGCTGAAGAGCCCGTCGCTCCGCCCGACGACTGATGAGCCACTTGGTCTTGACAAGTATGAAAGAGTCATTTGTTCTGATAATTATACTGAAGCGATTGTGTCGACGAGGACTCTGAGATCCTCGGACGTTTCTGTTCTAATGTATCTGAAGATTAAAATGTATCCTCACAGCTGGCCGCCTTTCAGCTGAATGCAAAACACACGGGGGCTCTACACTGGAGGAAAACAAAAAATGCAGCTATATGGCTGACAGACGGACATATCTGTCAACCAGATAGACGTAATGTGTATCCACCAAGCTCAAACCTCCAGTGTTGCAAAGTCCTGCAGTTCCTACACATGCACAACCATTCAAAAAGCCTGTTTTTACAGCAGAGATTAACATGGGGGTTTAATGGTTTATCTTTTGGCTCTCCATACCTTCATTTAGAGAAAGGACAGAGGACAGAGTCAGAAATTGGGGGGATATAGATATGTGGGAAAGGAGCCACAGGTCGGATCGGAACCCAGGCAACCTGTTTGAGGTCTTCCCGCCTGTTAGTGCTCACAGTATTTTCTCTCTGTCTTAGCCCCACCCCCCTTTACCCCGAACGACTCTAGTCTCTCCTCTAATTCCAACTCTGCCATACTGACTCTCTTCCCCTAATCTAATTGTGCTTGTCCGTCTCTGTCTGAATACCAACATGCTCCCATTGAGTTGTTTTCAGCTCTCACCATTTTGTTTTGTCTCCCCCCCCCCTCACAGACACTTTGCCATCGGACCCTCTACAGTCCCAGTATGACTCCTGGTTATCTCTGGTGGACCATCTGAACATCAAAGCTTTCGTCAACCTGACTTTGTCAGACACTGTGCGTCACGGCGTCCAACATCTCCTCTTCATCTCTGGGCTCGGTCAGTATCACCATCATCACTGAAACATGTCCCTGTGGTTAAAAGAGGAGAGTCTGACTGTTTCTGTTGGTAAATAACAATTTTAGCCTGGTCCTGAATAGTCTGGATTTGTTTAGACCAGAGAAGGTAGGCAGTTTTAAGGCACCCCCACACAGCCGTTTTGGACGCCCCTCTGTTTGTCAGATATGAGAGCAGTTATCAGGTCAAACCAACAGGTGTTGCAGAGATGGAAGCGGGCAAGAGAAGTGGTTCAGATAGAAGTGACTGTACCCGACCTAAAAAGCCTCTGCATGTTTCTAATAAGCTCCACGAGCAGAAACGTGCTCAAACTAGGATCAATATTGAGATGCTTTTGAAAAATGGAGAGAGGTTAGAACACAGAAAGGTTTACAGACTGATGCAGAGCTGGATAAACACTGAAGCTTCAGTGTCCACCACATGACAACCTGCGTGAGTATCGACTCAAGAGAGGAGGGGGCGGGGGGAGACAGCTCTATCCAGTGTTTTGAATTTAAACAAATCAGTACTCATTTTAAACACTAGGTGTCAGTCACATATTGCTCCTTTAAAAAAGTAGTGATAGGAAGTTGAGGTTGTACATATGAAAAGTGTTATTTGTCCTTTCTAGATTTCTTTGACACATTACATGCAAACATGAGGTCATATGTACAGAATGATTCCACAAACATTTATTTAACTTTGATTTCTTGAAGTATTTACAGAGACTAACTCTTCAACTCCTTCAGATCTTTCCTTCCTCATTCCAGCGTTCTGTCTTCATACTTCAAACTCCTCTTCAGCTTCTCTCTGCAGATTCATTTTGACTTCTTTCTCTACTCGTCTCTAATTTAGTTTCAACTGCCACTTTAATCCTGGAGCATGCGTCAGTTTTATAAAGAGTATTCCTTTCTGTCTGTGTTTGTGAACCTCTGCTCAGGATCAGGAGCATGCTGCTCTCTCTCCAGACTTTAAACACCCCGCCTCTTGGTGCTCTTTCTGTTTTCCGTCCTCTGAGAGGTGTCACTCATGTCTCACAGCGACCACCAGCACCCTCCTCTCTCCTCTCTCCTCTCTCCTCTCTCCTCTCTCCTCTCTCCTCTCTGCTTCTCACTGCAGCGATAATCAACTTTAATTATTTCTCAGACTAAACCTCGACCTCTGACCCTTAACTTAACCATCTCGATAAAAACAGTTTGAACTACATTTTCAGAAATGGTTTGATCTAATTCCCCCCCCCTTTCAGGTGGGATGCGTCCTAACACCCTCGTCCTCGGTTTCTATGACGACTGTCTTCCGAAGGATAGGCTGATCGATCCAACGACCTCCAACAATTATTGCATGAATTCCACGGACCACATGGAGGAGCTGGAGAAAGAACCCCCTATGTTCCACTTTGCCTCGCTCCGGGGGACCGGCGACAGGCAGGATTATGGGGACTTTGGGGACGGGAAGGCTCTGCGGTCCCAGGAGTACGTATCGATCATCGCTGACGCCATGAAGATGCTAAAGAATGTGGTGCTGGCCCGATACTTTAACAACTTTGACAGAGCCCAGGCCCTGTCTCCGCCCACCCCCTCCCAGAAGAGGGTCTACGTTGACGTCTGGCCAGTGAATCTGCTGCGTCCGGACAGCTGTAGCTACGTGGACACGTGCTCGCTCTTCCTGCTGCAGCTAGCGTGCATCCTCAACATGGTGAGAGCCTGGCGCAAAGCTCGACTCCGCCTCTTCCTCTGCGTGGAGGAGGGACGGAGCGTGAGAGGATCTGAAGCGAAGCTCGGCCAGCTGCTCAAAGATCTGAGAATCAAAGCTCAGGTACCCTGTGCCCTGGGACCACCAGGTGGCGCTACACTGGCAGCGACAAGGCGAGGGGGCAAAAAATCCCAAACCCCTGACGGGAACGAACAGAACAATCTGGGCGCCGTTAAGGAAGAGGAGAACGAGGAAGAGTATGTCAACAGCTTCCCGAGCAACGCCACACGCCTGTCGGATGAGTACCTGTCAGCTGTCAATAAGCTGATTAAGGAGGCCGCTAAACCTGCCCCTGCTGTGCGTTTCCTGTACTTGCCCCGCCCACCAGCTGACACCCGCCGCTACACCACCTACTTACAACAGCTGGAGCTGCTGACTCAAGACCTGGGCCCCACCCTGCTCATCCACGGCGTCACGCCTGTCATCACCACCGATCTTTAAACTATCCCCCCCCCAACACGCTGCCACAAGGTTCCCTCTGATAGTCTGTCGACCACTTACGGTGCAGGATCACTGTAGACCTCTGCAGAGATCCAGTATCAACCGCTCCACCCAGCGACAGACTGAGGTGCAGAAATCAACTCGTGACCTTTGACCTGGCTGCTGACGGAATGCCACTTTCTGCATGGCCTCAAACGATGTCGATCAACATTCTTATAGAATCTTTAAATCAAATGTCTCTACCACTTTAAGATCAGAAACATTGACACATTTATCTTTTCTTAGTCTTGAGTTCTAATCGAAAACACTCAAACCGTGACGGTTAACCATGAAACACTCAAACTGTGACTTAATGAAACAGTAAACTGAAGTCGACATTTTCAGACCTGCCGTTGAAATCAGCATCAAATACAATCACACATTCTTTTAATCCATTCACACCAATGATACGATACTTAGCAACACGCCAACACCCCGTCTTCCCCTCCTTCTTAAAGGAACTTTAAATGTCGGTCTCCTTCATTGTGATCGATCTCTAAACGATCGCTCCAGACGCCTTCAGATCAGAATGTGCCTTAGCGAGCGAGGGCGCTGGCGTTGGATCCCCTTTCCAGCGCAGACAGGATGTTGGACCGGGTTTCACCTCGGAGCAGAAAATCTGCTTTTTCACTTTAAGATCTGAAAACAGGAAACGGTTTAACAGTGAACGCTACACTCCTATTTCAGGTCTCAGGAAGACATTCCTCGTTTTTTCCCCCCGTTGCACTTTTGACCTTCTCGGCCGACCCGCCTTCCTCGAACACGTTTACACTCCGATCACTTCTGTACATATCGCCATGTTGTTGACTTTTAAATGTATTTTAGGTACTCTGTGATTTTTAGAGTTGTTTTAACTCGATAGTGACCACGATGATCGACCAGCGTGAACGTGCCTTAATGAAGTTTTGATCGACTCAAAAGTATTTAACGTGAATCTCTGTTACTCCACCAACCACTTCACGTTTATGAGATGAACCCTGTGCTGCCTCCAGATTAATACAACACTGTGAAATAACGGCCTCTAAAGAATTCGCTTCATGGACGCATAATTAACAAATCAACGCTCATCATCGACTTTATACGAACTCGTAGCGAAGATATTCTGACACGATAGCTCATAAACTGCCATCAGCTAACTGTTCTCTCCAGATTCAGTCCTCCTTTTGGACGACCTCTGGTTTCTTTAAAAGGCTTTATATGCGATTTTTCACACTTAAATGTAATAGAAATCAAATTTATCCTCTGAAAATAACTCTGTGAGTCATGACTGTCTACAATGGGTGTAACACCCGAGTCCCACTGCCTGTGATGCTTTCCTAGCCGTAGCTTCACTTTGTTTACATCGTTGGGATGACTGGCCGGCTCCTCCCCTTGCTTATAAAAGTTGTTTAATTGAGGGACTAGAGAAAAGAAGAACATACTGTACTCACTGCTTAATTGAATGTCACGTAAGCGTTTCTAGATCACGGTCATTTCGTTTAAATGTACATGCAGTGTGAAATACGAGCAAACTCAAGATCGCTAGCATTAGCATGCTAAAACAGCAATGCAGCTCGAGTTTTTGGTTTCATGCTGGTGCTCAAGGGTGACATCTGCTGGATCATAAAATTGCATATTCTGCCTTTAACTGACTCAGTTAGCTTTAGCTCCGAGCTAACCCTCGCTAAGCATGACACTGCCCATTGTTCAACCGCCGTCATGGCAACCTTGATGGTCGTCAGCCTGCAGCGTCGGTTCTGTGTAGCATTAGAAGTCCAAACTAAACCCAGTGTTGAAACAGGAAGTATTGTAGAGGTCAAAACGCTCCAGCAACACGTGTAGTTAGAAGATGAACTTTACGAAAGCCGCAAGCAGAAACGTGGCACCCTAATAAAGTTTATAAACTACAAGCTGCTGGATCCTCGTGACCTCTTCAGGCACTTCACTCACCGTGCAGCGTGGAAACCCAACTCTGCTTCTACGAGAACAGGTTGTTTGTAACTTAAGTCGCATCATCGTTGGGTTGCAGCACGGGGGACATAACTAGTAGAGCGTGATGTCAAAGGTTACGGAGATAGTGTTTCACAAGCGTTGACGAGCGCACAGTCAGCGCTTCTCCGCCCAAACAAAACGCCAGGTGGACACGGCGCTTCAGAGACACGAGTCGGTTATATCAGACTTCACAAAGCCTCGTTCCTTTTTTACTCCACCACAAAGACAGTCTGAGAGGGTCGCCCGGAGAAAACGCAAATTTATTGTTAATCGCCTCAGCTCGTCAGAGACGGAGTCTTTAATCAGTTGAAGATCTGACGTATCGATGACTGTTTCTGTGATTCTGTGCTCACATCCTGTTTAAACATTCTTTGCTGCCTTCAGTTGAAAGATGAATGTTAGTGAAAGGTTTGTTGTTAAAGATGATCTGAAGTTTCTCAGTGAAATCGATTCCTCCTCACAGTGTTTTCAGATCCATGTTTGAAGGAAAGCTGGAGGAGATTAATGTTTACTTTGTCCCACCTGGATCCTTCACGTTTCCATGGAAACGACCTGTCACACTACGTTTCTACAGCCCCTCATTCTGGACATCTGCTCCTGAATGCACTTCAGTCCTACAAAACAAAATGTCTGCAGGAAGTGAGATGTTCAGTATTTGATTTCCTGTTGAAACATGAGAATGTATGTAAACTGAAATGACTGATAAAAAGAAGAACTTTGACTTTGTGTCCTTTCTTTAACGTCCTCTGGAGACGACCAACTCGTGTGTGTTTAATTTCAGCTGAAGACCAGTTTGTGCGTCTCCAAGCAGACAGCTGAGGGGGACTTGGTGTCCGCCGCGCTCGTTTGTTTGAGGTAAACTTTAGAAATGGAGGCTGTGACGGCTCAGCAGCTCAGACAGAGAGATAGTCGAGCGTGCCAGCAGGCCAAATTACCTCGTCCTACAGTCACCCCCCCTCCCACACCAAGCAGGCAGAAATGGATTCTATCTCAGCTCAGAGGTGAACAACAGATTGGAGAAATAAGCCCAAATAACCATCGATATGTGTTCAGGAGGAGGGAGGCTGACATCCATCAGTGGGGGACGGACCCCGGCTCTGAAAGGTGCGAGACAAGAAATAGGTTCAGGACTAACGGTTCCCCAAAGATGATTCTCAGGAGATTATTAAAGAAGAGTAAGGAGATAAGTTGGTGTGAAAAACAGGAAGTGCACGCTTCAACTAGAGACTCATTTCTCTGCAGGTAGTTAAATAGAAATGTAAGTTTATGGGGTGCGCCGGTAGCGAAGTGTTTAGTGTGTACGCCCCATTTACAGAGGCTTAAGTCCTCGAGAGTGGGTGACGCATGTTTAAATCCAACCGGCGGCTCCTTTCTGAAACTGTTCATCGGAGTCAGACATGGTCGTCTCTTTTAAATGTTAAATGTTTGCCACTTTGCGACGTGCAGATCAAATTAGTCTGTAAGTGAGGCTAACGTTTGCGGTGCTAGGACCACCCACCTCTTGCAGCGGCTCCTTGTAGGATAAGGTCCACATGCCGTGCTGAATGTGCACAGCCCACGATCAACTTTACCTCCAATTTCATGATCAAAATTCTGCAAAACCGCGCTGCTCCTACCAGATGATACTGTGCTGGTTTACATCCAGGCAGAAGAGCCGACCCGTTACCCGCAGCTACATCCAGCAGGGACAGTCCCCCCGCTGTGAGGTGTGAAAAACCAGATCAGGAGGTCTTGTACTTTTTGAGATGTAGTTTTTATTCGCAGATCGTTAACCTCAACATGTGACACTTATTTCTCTTCATGCAGCCACTAGCATTAAACTTCCTGTTTTAAATGTTTCTCTCGTTAAAACTGAAAAGCTGAAGGCTACGAAAAAACCCGACATGATGACAGGAAGGCTGAGAGCTGCTGAGGGGCGTGTACTAAGTGTGTGTGTGGCAGTTTAAAGATGAAGACCATCAGGGCTGAGTGTGTGTTTGCCTCCCAGTCTAAACCTGCTCTGTCTTCAGCGCTGATCACAGGAAACTTGTCTCTACTTTGTCACTTCCAACGCGTGTTATCGCTCCCTCACCAGCAGCAACGCCTTCAGGACACACGCGGACGTCATCGCTCTTCATTTCCACCACACTCTCCGTTTACTCTCCTCTGTTGCATCTTCAGATCCTCTTAATCTCACATGACATGCAGATTTCCCCGAGTTATCGGGCGGATCAGAGGGAGGAGACCAGGCTGGAGTGTCGGGTAGAATTCGGTCATGCTGATTTGACTCCAAGTTAAACATTTTAGAGGCTAAACAGACCGCCGGCTGCTCTTTAGAAGTCCTTCCTGAATACGCAGAAAGTGTGTGTGTAGTCAGAGGAAGAGTTCAAACTGCTGAACAGATCGCAGGAGTGTCTGCAGCACGTCGTCTGTTTTTTTTTTTAGCAGCATGACTCCAAACCTGCAACATCTTCAGAGTGTGCTCATTATTCATGCTCCTTATTGACAACAAATCAATTAAGAAGTGAAATACAAGCTTCAAGTTAAGGAACATCGGTTTTCCTTGGGAGCAAAAAACAAACTTATAATCCTCAGGTGATGGAAACAAAATCTTGAAGAGTCTTTTTCAAACACACAGTGGGACGGGTTCTTGAAAATGTGCAGTACTGCCCCTCTCAACTAAAAAAATAAAGCTTTATGAAGTGAGTGACTGTTTGACCAATCAGCTTGGACTAAGTAAATCCTTAGTCAGGGTCAGGCCTAGAAGCCAGATCAGGTTGCCCTGTTGGTTTCAGATCAAATTAAAACTGTAAAACGAGTCCAAGCAGTAACTCCCTTAAACAACTGAAAGCTTGAAATGCGCACACACACACACACACACACACACACACACACACACACACACACACAGACGCTCAAATAAGCACAGCTTCCCGGTGCGTGTGTGCGTGCGTCTGGTGTGTGTGTGTGTGCTGAGTCACACTGCGCTGCATGTTGACTTTCCCATCATGCTTTTGAATATGTATGCTGCAGAGCCACAGGTGGAGGAGCAATCCTGATTTCTTATTCTGTTTTATGTTTGACCTTCGCCGCAGCGCGTCTGTCGTTCATTTTCACACGCAGGATAAGATGCATAAAGATGGCCACCGACTGGCTGCATGTCATTACGCTGCCCATTCACCAACTTTTCTACCTTTGGCTCGGGGGTTTATATTTTTATGAGGATGAGGAGATACGTGTGGGACGGATTTAGGAGACTCTGTTTGTCTCGTCTATTTTTGTGTTGTCCCTCGTCATCCTCGGCCTCGGCCCACGGTTAGCGGCATCGCTTTCTGAAGCTCTGAAGGTGTTCAGTTTGTTTGTGACCTTGTAGTCTGC